GGAGAAAACCAGCGTCATGGTAGGGAATGGGTGAAGGGAGGTGGGAGCACATCTGTGGGAAGGGGCATAGGGAGGAAAGTCCAAAGGCAGCTACCAGAAAGTGTGTTTGAAGTTCTGAGAAGGAACAGTCAATGTGAGGTGGTGGGTTTTTGCCCCTTCTTGCCTATCTCTGGAAAGAACAACTTTATGGCTCCTTAGGGGTTGGTTAATGTTTTGGTAAATAACAGGAAGGTGTGGGGTTTAATTTGTTGGCTTTATTCTTGGGCTCTTTTTGAATAGCAGCTCTGATGTCATCTTTCAGTGAGGAATGAGCTTCTAGCTCTACCCAAGGGATTCCCAGGTCTCTCCTTCCCCCTCTTCTGCATTCATACAATATTCATTGGATCCTCAATCTTAATGCTACACTGAAGTCTTAGCCTTGAGCCCCTGGCTGTGATGGAGATGTTTGTAAGGTGTCTCTTTAYTCAAGGATTTCTTGTTCATTCATCTAGAAAAGGAAGGGAGAAGCAGGTGATAGACCCCCCTAATGTTAGATCGAGGAGAAGATGGGATGCAGAGGTAACAAAARCTATTCTGTAGGTGCTGGCACATACTGAATGGTATATTTAGGTTGAGTGCTCTCTAAGGCTATTGGACAATACAAATCAAGAGCCATAAAAATGTTCAAATTCTTTGACCTAGTAATTTCAATTCTGGGAATTTATGCTAAGATTGTCTTTTTTTTCTTTTTTTTTAAGAGGAGAAATGAAACAGATGTTTATTATGGAAAATAACAGTCGAAAATGACTGTTTTGGGGTTTAGAAAGTATTTTCCAATACAGTATTTATAGGAGCTTTATAGCATTCATAGGAAGTGGGTAGATTCTTATGCCCACTGCACAGATAGGAAATTGATGTTTAGAGAGATCAAGTGAGTGGCCCTGGTTCACTGGCAGATTCGGGCTCCGAACCCCGAATGCATGTGTCATTGCCTAGAAGGTTTGGTCAAAAAGTTGAGGTCTAGTGGCAAGAATCAAGAAAGCASAATGAGAGAACAAAGACTGGAAATAATTATTTAACTTAGCCTATGCCTCGTTCAGTCTGCAGTATTTTGTAAATTTTATCTGGGTTAATACTTAAAATACACTGTGGGGAAAACCAGCTCTAGAAGGTTAGATAACTTGTATGAGTTGTAGAGCGGTTTTCATATCCTGACCGGGTGAATCCAGAACTTAGAGGTGGCGTTGGTTTTGCCCTCTTGCCACTTGCTTCACAAGAACGTATTGTGGGATGAGTGAATAAATTGATAAATGAACAATGGACTGGAAAGGGTTTGAAGGGTTAGGATGTGAGAACCAGTTCAAAGCATAGTTAGACTTCAGGATCCCCACGGATGACAGGTTCCTTCTCAGAGCTCTACAGTTTCTACACACAAGACAGTTGCCCAAGCCTCTCCCAGGAGAGTTGCACCCTTATTGTCCCTTATGGCCACACTTTTCAAACACCCTTTTATGCCTAAAGGCTGTCTTTCCTGGCTCAGCTCATTTCTTGCAAAATGCCCAGAGCTGAGTGAATTTAGAGTAAGCCAGGCACGTAGGGTGTGGACCTTTTGCAACTGAAGGAAACTGATCCATTTCAACATGATGAGATATTCTGCAGCTATTAAAAAATGATAAATGCAACTGTGTAGAAATATACAAAATTATTGGGAAATAGTTGCACATATCTGAAGATGCAGGCTAATGCAGTGTGCATACCTATGGATGAGGGTTCGAGGAGAACAGGATTGAAAATTGTGTAAAGATAGTGGGATTGGATGGTGTCACCATGCATTTAGTCCGTTAAGCGAGGTAGCTTGGGATCATCCTCTGAGCTTCTGTTTCCTCTCACCCCAGATTTGACCAGTCATAGATTCCTGTAGATCCTATATCAGTATCTTAATTCTGAGGCCTATTCTTCATCCCCACTACCAGTTTCCTAGACTAGGCTCTCTTTTCTTTCTGCAGAGCTGAGGATCGAACCCAGGGCCTCACATATTCTAGACAAGAGCACTACCACTGAGTTACATCTTYAGGCCATCCTTATCTGGACCCTTCTATAGCCTCACAGCTCCTGAACATTCTATCTTACTGTAGTCCATGTTGGACACTGCGGTCCACGTGATCTTGTTAGAAAATAAATCTGATTCTGTTTCTCCTTTGCTTAGCGGCTTCTATTTACTTGTTATTGCTTTGAGGAGTTAAGCTGAAATGCCTTCGCATAACAGACGAGGTCCTTTACAGCCTCATCCCCTCAGTCTTTCCCCTAGCATGTCAGACTCTGCTCCCTCTGCCTCTGCACCTTTTCTTTTTGTCGCTTCCCCTTTCTCTAAAAGATTAAGCCTTCATAGCTGTCTCGAGGAGAGTTGGTTCTTCTGCCCTAAGTTACCACGAGTTATGCTGTGCTGTAATTGTGAGTTTACAGCCCTTCCTCTCATTTAACTCCAAGCCCCTCAAAGAACAGGACCACATGTCTCACTATCTTCCACTCAGACCCTCAGTATGGTGCTTAGGACTTAGTAGAGGGGCAAAAACATGTGTTTTTGACAAACTATGGAGTTAACAGATTGGGTTCAGATCATGGGTCTATCACATACTGAGCTTTGGATTCCTCATTTATAAAACGGACATGAAAATGTATWACATAGGATGACTATGAAAGACAAAGGAGGAAATGCAAGTCAAGGACTTAGAACAGAGCCTGGCACAGGGTGAGGACTCCAGAAATGCTAGCTAGCCTTGACAATTGCGTCACCACTGAGAGGCCAGTGCCTTCATGTGAACATCCTTTCTTGGTGTCCTTCTGCTTGTTTYTGCAGTCTAAAACTTTAAAAGCTTCAGCCTCAGCTGAAATGTGATTACACTGATGAAAGATGATGAGGGATCATGGAAGAATAAATTCAGCACTTCTTGTAGGGTCTTGTTTTCTGAGCCAGCTTCCCTTCAAAGGATAATGGCAGAGTTTACTCATGTATTCTCTCACAGGCCAGGAATGGGGCTCCAGCTCATGAGGAGAGAGGTGCCTCTGAGAGGGGTGCTCCAAACTCCACACAGGATTGTCCTCTTTACTGTTATCATGTTTCAATGAGCTCCTTGTGCTGGTATCATGTCTGTGTTGCTCCCTGGAGATAAAATTAGGACTGATGGATGAATGTTGGTGGGTACCAGATTGCTGCTCAGTGTTTAAAAAAGGTTCTTCACAAAGGAGGCTGTTAATTACAGTACCAAGCTCCCCACAATTGAGATATTCAAGCTAAATTGGAGATCCAGTATGGGATACCAGGGAAGAGTTCTGCTTTTAGTGGGAGGTTGGTTAGAAGGGGTGTGTGGTTTCTCAGAGCTCTTATCTAAGGGATCAGGCAGATGTATGAACTGTTCTTCTGGTTCAAATTAAGGACAGTGTGCACATATGGGGACTAATGGATGTAGATGTATCAGAAAAACAGACCGATGTTCTTGGATTGGATTGTGAGGACAGTTTCATCAGTATCAATATTGCACAAATACCAACTCTCCCAGTTTAGTCAAAATGGATGGAAATTATAATAGGTACACTATGGAATCCCCAAGTCCTTAAGTGAGATAGTTAAGGTAAAGTTCTGAAGTCTGGGATTCTTGCTTAATGTGTGCTTTGAAAAAGCCACCTAGCCTCTCGATGGCTTCCTTAACCTGTCTTTATGTTCTGTGGTGCATATGATATACTGTCTGGTCTTCATGTAACTCAAGAGGACAGGCGCTAGCTATAAGGTAAAGGCTACTCTTTAGTATTGGGGGCCAAAGAGTGATTCATTGGCCACATACAGTAAGACCAGTAGTTCCTAGAAGGATACCTATTTGACTAGAGAGGGCCTCATGATTAGGGCTTCAGAGATGGGCTTCCTGGGTCCATAAGTCTTCAGAAATCTATGCATATTTGTGTACATTCATGCATTTTCCTGGGGAGGAAAGTCCATACTTTCATGGGGTTTTCATTTGGGCATTTGATCTTGTGTTCATAACCCTTTAGTTCCATGTTAGTGATCTGCCAGCAGATTTAAAATACTCGTGGGAGAGGTAAGCTTGCTTCTCCTTTACACTTTAATTTTAATGAAAACAAATCTGGGCTTTTACAGCAGGATTTGGATGAGTTAGTTAGATAAGATATTCTGTTTTTATGTTTCATTTCATCCAAGAGTGATGGGAAGAAGGGAAGTAATGAAATGGCTGTGCCCTCTGCTACATTCAAGTTCTTGGTCCACTGGACATTTCTGTGCAGTCCACTCCAGCTAAGAGTTGGATTTATCTGAAAGTGCTGTGCGTGGCATGCCACGATCTCAAGTGGTGTCTGGTATCTTTTCTCAGACTGATCATTTAACACCTCCCAAGGGCGTCTGCTTGATACCATCGCTGGCGATAACGGTGCATCTCTTGGCTCTGGGGAGCCTGCCAAGCGCATCTACTCATAGGTACCTGGCCAGAGAAGGAAAGGCGTGCCAAGAGCCCAGCCATTCCAGGCGTGGGGTGCTGGAATGTGGCAGCTCCGCTGGGTTCAGCACCGATCCTGAGTGTGCGAGTCGCGAGCTCCAGTTCTTGTCCTTTCCGAGCTCGCTGACCTGAGGCAGGTCGCCGMCACTTCTGAACCTCAGTCTCCCACTGGTACAAGGAGACTCCAACCCACCTAGAAGCTCTCTGGGCGCGAAGGTGCTGCCCCTTTAAGGAGGGCGGGGGCGCGGAGGGGTGGCCCGCCCCCTGGCTCTCCGCGAGACGTCCGCGCGACCACCTGTCTCCGGCCCTGCCACGCCCCTTTCCGGAGGGGCGGAGGACTAGGGGGCGGAGAAGAAGGGCTGAGGATTTACCTTGAGGGGCGGGCGCCTGGCGCATGCGCAYGGCCGGACAGGTCCGCGGCGCCTTCACTTCCTGGCATTCCCCCCTCCCCCTTCTCGCCGTTACCCTGTACATCCGGGTCACTTGCCCTCCCCGCTCGGAGCCGCCGCTGCCGCTGTCGCCGCCGCCGCCGCCGCCTAGTTCGTCGCGGCGCCGCCACAGGGGCAGGTGCGGAGGGGCTCCCGGTCCGGCCGCCGCCGCTCCCCGCTCCGGGCCCGGGGCTCCCCCTAGCGCCGTTGAGGAGCCGCCGCCGCGGCTCGAGGAGGGCGGAGGAGCGGGGCTGAGAGCCTGGAGGCTCGAGGGAGGGTGAGTGAGTGGTTTTTACCATTTTCTCCTCTTCCTCACACCCTGGCTCTCCTGCCCAGCGACCCGGGGTGGGCGGAGAGACGGTGCGGCGGGGCCCGCGCGGGGCTGCTCGTGCCCCGGTCGGTGGGCCCTCCGGGGCGCCCGCCCCCGGCCCCGGCCTGCCCGGCGCTCATTCATTCGGAGCCTCTTTTCTTCTGCCTGGTGCTTGCACTTGCACCTCCTCGCGCGTGCTCGCCGCCCCCGAATCCTGCCGCCGCCCGCGACCTCTGGCTCCCGGCGGCTCCGCGCGCGCCGACCTCGCCCCCGCCGCGGTTCCCCACTCCCGGTGTCCGCGCAGTGCCGGCGCCCGGCTTCACACCCGGTGCCTGGGACTCCACCGCGCAGCCCAGCCCAGCCCTCCGGCCACTGGCGGGGAAGTTGTTTTTACTGCCCCCAACACTCAGTCTTCCACCTGGGCGGCCAGACCTGTGCACGTGTTGACCTTTTAATTCCCAGCATTTAAAGTCCAGATGCTCAGTCCTAGGGTGTGGTGTTAGTGTGTTTCCAAGTCTCTGAATTTCTACTGTAATTACCCAAATCTGAGACTGTCAAACTCTCGTGGAAGTGGCAGTTGCGCTGTGTGTGTGTGTGTGTGTGTGTGTGTGTGTGTGTGTGTTGGGGGGGTGTTTCTAACTTCATGGCTATTCTGGGCCATACCGAATACCTTTTCTCTTGCTTCCTCCTCTAGAAGAGCATTTGATGAATTGATTTTTCTCTGAGTATAAAATTCGGCTTATTATTATTATTGTTATTATTATTATTTTATTTTTTTCCTACTGGTTCCATGACCGACTTGCAAAGTGTTACCTGTTAGTATTGTTTTGTCTCATCATCAGCATTTATTGAGTTCCTCCTATATGCAGAAGAATTTGGACCAATACTTCTTAACCACAAAGTGCCATTCTGGATAAGGCCAAGACTTTTGAAATTTGTTTACATTCCCCCCTTCCTGAACTTTTTTTAGCTTGGCATCTTTTAACTCTTTAAATACTGTGTCAGAAATGTTTATCAGTACATTTTGTTTTCTTTTTAGTCTTGCAGTTTGGCATGCTGACATTGCATACAAGTGTTCTGTGTAGCTGAAGGAATTTCATTCACACGGGTGTTTGGTGCCTTATTATTGCAAATCATTTTAGACTAATGTACCTCAAGAGAAACACACTGATCCTTTTAATTCTTTAATTAAGTTTAATAATAGAAATAGAAGCTTTGTGTCTAGAATGACTTGATAATTGAAACCTATTTGATAGCCCATTTGTAAAGTGTTGTAGTTAACTGAAACTGCCTAAACAGTGTTCATAAAATGAAATGACAGCACCCCCCAGTTTTGTTGTCCGTAATAACAAATGCCAAGGGAGACTTTTAATGATAAAAGTCACCTACCTATATATCAGTATGAGAATGCTATTGCTATCAGTATTAATAGCAGCATTTTCTAACAGGCCTCTTTTTCTTGGGAGTTAGTTTTTAAAAGGGCATTGTTTGTTTGCATTTAGGTTTTGGATAACTGCTTTAAATGGAAGATTTCTTAACTCAGGATTGCATTCTTTGTGACCAGCACAATGGTGCATACCTGTAATCCCAGCTGCTTAGGAAGCTAGTTGGAGGCAGGCCTGGGCAATTTGGTGGGACCCTGTCCCAAAATAAAGAGTGGGATTGTGCCTTAGTTGGTAGAGTGCTTGCCTAGCATATGTGAAGCCTGGAGTTCAACCCCTAAGATTACTTTCTTAGGTGTTACTTACTTTCTTGTTTTGTTAGGTAATTTTTAAATAAAATTTAAACTTTTCAATAGGTATAGTTGCCTCCAAGGAAACTCTTGATTTGTAAAATGTTGTTGGATTATATAGTATAGATTCTAGATTCTCTGTAATTGGGTAGAGACTAGATTTTTCTTTCCTAAGAAAATGATTGGTTGATCAAAGGGAGATGTGACTAGTGAGTTGATTCTTGTTGTGAAAGCAAAAATAGGATTTCAACTGTTGAGTAAAGCTAAGTGAGGGCAGTTTATTTTTGATAAATTACAGCTGATAATTTCTCTGGACTTTCCAAAAATAAATGGGCTTAAAATGCTACATATTATGGTACCACTCTTGAGATTATTTGATATTTTACATGGTCATTTATCTTTACCTAGTAAATAGTAATTGGTGGAGTGATATAGAGAAATGCTCATTTTATTCCTATTCTCCTTGGGGGAAAATACTGGCTTACCACTGATCAGGTTACCTGCCTCTTATTAAGTATTGATGCATTCAACCATAAAAACTTATAATTTTCACTGTTTAAGGAAAACAAGACTATAATATTTGAAGATATTTAATTATGTTGTTGATGGCATGCCTCCTATTTTTGGTTTCTCCTTTTCTGTTCCTATTTTCAGACTTTAGGACATTTTCTGTCTGGTGTATAGTGAATACTCTTATTGAACTGTTGAGTGAATGGCAAGGTCCAAGAGTCTTGGACTAGAACAACATTTTGTAATTATGTGGCAAAAGTTAGAAAGATGTTGATTGCTTTGAGCTTCAGTTTTCTCAAGTATTTTGCATATTTTGAAAATTGCCTGTAATGGGCTATTATTTTAAATTATTTTGTGAGTTTTAGGGGAGAAAGTACAATAGACACACCATTTGGTGTTACAATTTAGTTCATAGAATGGATTTGTTTACTTAGAAAGGGTATTCAGTACTTGCATATTGTCAGCATTCGTGAACAGTAGTCAATTCAGAGAATTTTTTGTGCATTTAAAGTTTCTAAAAGTCAGCATAAAAGTTCTTGGATGTGTGAGTTCATCCTGTATTTTGATCAGTTCACTAAATTAGGTTTATTTTTCAAAGAATTTTTTTTTCATGTAGCAGAAATGGAAGGTATAATTAAAAAATACAATGGTAATTTACTGTTTCAGTGGTGGTTCTGATGATAATGTTAATAATAATTAACACTTGTATGTTGTCCACTAGTAGCCAGGCAGTGTTCTCAGACATGGTTTAATCTTTACAACAACCTTGTTAAATAGGCATTAGTATTCCTGTCAGACATCTGAGAAAACAAGTAACAGCTAATAAGTGATAGGGCTGTGTCCTGACTCTTAATTATTGTGATGAAATATTGAACACTTACCTATACCCCATAGTGGGTAGGTTTCACGATATCCTTGCAAGATATAAGTTAATTTCTGTGTATTTTCCAGTTAACTCTGGGAAAGTGCATGTTAGAGAGCTTAGGTAATTTTTCCAAGTATACTTGGAAAAAACCAGGCCTGTATGGCTGATAATCTTTATGAAAGTTTCATTTTGACATGCTAATTTTAAGCTGTATATTTTATATTATTTGGAGGGTATAATTAAAACAGCAAATCTCAAAACTTTCAGCTACCACATAGGAGAAATAATGTCCCCTTGTTCTGTACTGTTCCTTTGAACATATACAGGATTATTATTTATTTCCTACTCACTAGCCATAGCTTCACTCCTTTTCCAGTCATGCAAATAAATGGAATGTAAATGAGTGATATTTGTAAAACTTTCAAAACAGGGAAATCATTCTTAGAATTTTGATTCTTTAATTATATACATTGTTGACATGCGTTCAGGTAATCTAGATTATACTGAATACCAGTTTAGGTCAAATATTTTTAGAAAATATTTATTAAAGAAAAAAATTATGACATTTCCCAGATTCTGTTATTTGGGGGTTATTTGTGCCATTTCTCTATTCTCAGGGTAATAGAGAATTGAATGCACTAAGTTTAAATTAAAACTGAGATTTTACTAGGTCTTGAAAGAGACTTTTCTGTGTGTGTGTGTGTGTGTGTGTGTGTGTGTGTGTGTGTTCAACCCAGGGCCGTGTACAAGTTAGGAATATATTCTACCACTGAGCTACACCCTTAGAAGACTTATGTAGTTTGTTGACTTATACTTTTAGAGATTCTTCTCATTGTAAAATTTTATTACCATATATATGGGCAAAAATATTGCATTTAATTGATAACATGGAGATCCTCAGATTATAAAGTGGGAATAACACTCTCTTTCATGTCTTAACATTGTTGTGGAATTTTTGTGTTTATTTCTATGTAACAAAATAGGGAAGGCAGGAAGACATAATTTCCTTGATACCTGGCACAATATTTGGTATATGGATTTTTATTAATTGCTCAAATAGTTATTGAGCAACATATTATAATGAATAAAACATTCATGGTCCTTCCTTATGGTAGAAGATAGAGAAAAGTAGACACTGCAATTGCACCGAGAATGTGTTACCAGAATACCCACTCTTAAGGAATCAAGATAAACCCTCTTCCACTTTGTATTAAATGCCACCTAAACTAAGACTTGTATAGTAGACTGACCAATCCAGCAAAAGGGAGAATGAGGGGCTGGATTTGTAGCTCAGTGGTAGAGAGCTTTCCTAATATGGGTGAGGCACTGGGTTTGATTCTCACAAATAAAATAAAGTTATTGTGTCCATCAACAACAACAACAACTCTCTCTCATATATATATATATATATATATATATATATATATGAGAATGAATGGCAGTATGAAGACCAAAAGCCTTAGGATGAGAGGTCATGTTAGAAATTGATACTGGCTGTGTTTGACTGTAATGTGGGATGTAAAGTAGGAATAGGAAAGATGAAATTAAAGAAGTAAACCTTAGGACTGTATGCAGGAGTCATGTTAACACACTTCAGTTCATTTTGGGCTGAAGGCTGTGGGGAAATCATTCTAGGGTTTAACAGCAGAGAGTAAAATACTATTTTTGAAAGATTTTTCTGCTTTTAGGGAATTAGGGTGAAATAAGATTGGATACAGAAAGAAAATTAAGAGGCAGTTTTCAGAGTTTAGGAAAGAATTGATAGTGATTTATACTTTTGATAAAAAGGGAATGGTGTTAAATTGATAAGATTTGATGATTTAATGGGTGTGGGTAGTTTCACCCGAAGAGCTGGGAGGC